ATCTGGTTTCCAGCACTCAGACTTTAGCATACCTCCTTGAGCTGCCAGATCTCCTAAGCTAGGTAGTTTCAGGGTTGGTCACTGGATAGGAGATCTACAAAGAACATCTAGGTTTTGTATAAAGTAATGTAGATAATTGACAAGACGACAGACTTTCTCTGTCAGTCAGCTCCGATTCAATACCAAGTTTTATGTGAGGGGACACTGAGCTTCTGTTTTTTGGAGGAGACATCATGATACTTTTAATAAGAGTACAAGTGCTAATTCTAGCATCCTGACTGAATTTAATTGGAAGCAAATATATTCTGTCTCCAATCGTTTCAGCTGGATGCGTTATTCTTTGTGACCTCCCCTCCTAAACGGTGGGAAGTGTTTCTATATACTTTTGAACAGCTGCTGCAGTCTGCCCCAATGATAGCTGCATTCTCATGCATGGGTATGTCTAAACGACATCCCTCTTTTAAAAGAGGGATGTAAATTAGACATATTGAAATTGCAAATGAAGCCGGGATTTGAATTTCCTGTGCTTCATTTGCATAATCGCCTCATGGCGTTTTTTTGAAAACACTATTTTGAAAGTGAAACTGCGGTCTAGATGTGGTTCTTTAAAAAAGAAAAGCCTTTTTCGAAAGATCCTGTACTCCTCAAAAAATGAGTTTTAGAGGATCTTTTGAAAAATGCTTTTCTTTTCAAAAGAACCACGTCTAGACTGGTTTCACTTTCAAAATAGCGTTCTTTGAAAAAACACCATGACACGATTATGCAAATGAAGCACAGGAAATTCAAATCCCGGCTTCATCTGCAATTTTGATATATCTAATTTACATCCTTCTTTCAAAAGAGGGATGTAGTCTAGACATAGCCATGGTAAATAGTAACATGCTTTACCCACCTCAGAGGGGACTTATGAGGCTGACCTGGTGACTGTCAGGAAATGAAATTGCTTCAAAAAAATCTATTGGAATATTCATACAACAGCAATGATTAGGAAAGCAAATTGAATATCAGGCTGTCTCTCAGAATGCCAGTGTCCAGTAGTACACAACACTTAATTCTCGTGTGGAGAACATAAATCAAATCCTTCTCCCTGAAATGAGGCAAGGGACATGTACACATCTGGGGGGTAGGCAGTAATTTCTAGGGGTACACTGGGTGCTACAATGTACATCTTTAATATAAGGAATGTAAATAAAGAAACAATTACATCACATTGTAATACTTCCAAAATGTAATATTATCTGCCTCTTTAATATATGCTGTGGGCTTTTTCCTATTTTGTGCAGATCTCATACTGTCTAGTAAAATAAGAGCATATAGAGCCTAATAAGTTGTTTATGCTTGTGCAAAGTGGGTGTAACAATTAACAGATGACTAGGCAAGGTGCCAGGCATTGGAGAAAGCAGACAGGAGAGCATTTGAACCAATGGCCATCACAACAGAAGGAGATGACAGTTTTATTCCAGATGGGCTGGGGAGTGTGTACCATTGTGATACAACCTTGGATGTCCCATAGTGCTTCAGGTAGATTAGAGGAAGAATGCATCTGCAATGCGTCTATACGTTCCCAAACCTGAGGAAGAGCTCTGTGGAGCAGAAAGGCTTGAATAGTCCAATAAAAAAGATTCTCGCCTATCTCTTCACTCTGCAAGGTAACTTAATTTACTCGTGGGAGGTATTGTACATGGGGCTGTGGGGAGGAGGGAGACGGGAATCTTTAGTGACATTCCATGTGTTTTTGCAATACTTAGGGTTCCAGTGGGATTTCAAAAGGACCTATCTGCATTATTAAGCAACTAAATACTTTTGAAAATCTGGCCCAAGGCTATATCCACCTTTTGACACTAGTTCTGTTACAAGACAGGAGTAACTTGATAGATGGATCACTGAAATCTCATTGATGCAAGATAGGGTTCCCCTGAATTCTGCCTATGCATTTATTCATACAGTTTACATTATGCAGGAACAAGCCCTTAATGTATTTTTTGGAGAGGGGGATGAAGGTTTGAAAATATGCTACATTTCAGTGAAATTAAATATTGGGTTTTTATAATTTTTTAAAATATCGAATATACTCAACCATAAGCCCATTCATTCATAAGCTAACTCTCCCAAGTAAAAAAAAAAATTGTAAAAAAATCACAATGACTTGTTCATAAGCCGACTCTGCACCAGCGGTTTGCAAACTCCAGTCCCTGCTTGTCAGTGTTAGCCCACTAGAATGTCAGCACATTTTGTTTACCTGGAGTGTCTGTGGGCATGCAGTCCTGCAGCTCCCAGTGTCTGTGATTCGCCATTTCTGGCCAACAGGAGCGGCGGGAAGTGGCAGCCAGCATATCCCTTGTCCTGTGACACTTCCCACAACTCCTATTGGCTGGGAACAGTGAACAGCAGCCAATGGGAGCTCAAGAGCTCTAGACACTCCAGGAAGGGATGTTAAATTGTGTTTAATCAGCTAATCAAGTCCCACCCCCAGTGTCCAAGCAGCTTTTACTCCATTTAAAAAGCATAGGCACAGCAGGGGACCGGGCATGAGCTGGGAATCAGCTGCTCAACTAGTCCCATACATCCCTAACTCCAGGTACATAAAACATCCTGGGCACTAGTAGTTTTCCCTGCTGGGCTGGGAACTGAAGTTGTTGTGCACTCCTCCCCCACCCCCCAAGTTAAAAAAATTGGTAAAACGCAATGACCCATTCGTAAGTTGACCCCTGCTCTTTATTGTCATTTTTTACAAAAAAAAATTGGCTTATGATCAAGTATATATGGTAAATATATGTTAGAGAGTATATAGTTGTGACTTGCAGTGAATTTGCAGCATAAGTGAGTTGGTAACTGTTAATTTTTGTGATGTATATTTTACAGAGATAAAAACATTAATAAATTGCATTCTCAGATGTTTCATAATTCACTTTGGGAAGCAAATATCATGGGTGTAAAATATCATTAATAGCTGACAACCACTGGCACAGACGTCCAAGTGGAAACATGCTGTACTGAATTAATTGTTATCGTTATTTGTATTACAGATGACAGAGGGTGGGAGGGGAAGCAAGCCAGACGGAGGTGTAGTGAGTTGTCCAAGGTCATTGCCCAAATTAATGGAATAGTTTACATTAGAACCCACATTCCCATTTTCCAGTCCCAGTGACATGTCACTAGGACATGTAGCCACCAGATAAAATTACCCAATAGAATACCTAGCTTCCAAACCTGGTGGGAATTTTAATTGGTCTTGGGGGCTGAATTTACACCTACTGCACTGTTGTTGTTATTGTTATATTCGATTCCATTATTTCTGCTGCACACAGGGGAAACCCATGACTTCCTGTAAATAATTACTTGGTCTAGTCTTAATAAGCCTTACTATGCTCCACCAGTATTGTGGTAATCTTCACATCAGTATTGTGAAAACCTAACTTGCAGGTGTTTCCTTTGTGTTGCATGTTAAGTTGTTTTGTAGTTTATGCTGAAATATTATGTGAGTTTTAGGGATTTGTTACGGTACAGAAATTTCTCCAGTTTGGCCCTTGCTCCTTACATCAACATTATGCACTAATGTATCTCAGAATTACCCTGTATGGTATTGTACAGATTCAATGCATGTGTTCTTTACATGTAAGAGCCATGAAGTAATCTTAGCAAACATCTCCTGCATGTAAATAAAATCAGCAATTTAGTCTTGAGCAGAACTGGGCTGGCAATGTTTGCTGAAGGAAGAGTGTAAAGTTTTCCAACTCATGAAGACAAGTCAATGCCTGTACTTTGCAACACGTTAACATGTACTTTGTTTAAATTTCCTGTTCTCTCTCTCTCTTTTTTTTAATTCAGTGAATGGGGAAGCAAGCACAGAGGGGTGAATTGACTTCCCCAAAGTCATACAGACCATGGGAAAAATGGGAGTAGGACCAATGTCTAATAACTTCCAGCTGCCCAAAATAAGGAGTCTTCCTGTCTAAAAATATATAATACATAGTAGCAAAGTTATTTTATAAATGCTGAAACATAGCCTCCCTTAGAGGTTAATAAATCTGAGCATCAGACATCCCAGCTGATTTTACAACCATCATCTGTCTTTCAGGGCACTCCACCACCTCTGTTAGATATTAAAATAAGAATCCATGAGCCTGGCATAGCTAAAGGACAAGCTTATTGAGAGATCCTGGTCAAAGCCCTATGAAAATATTGGAAGCAGTTTACAATCCAGCCCTGTAGCTGCAGCCTCATGAAGCCCCATTGTTTTCAATGAGCTTTGTATGTTCTGTGTGACAAGACCCAGAATTATGACCTTAATTTGAAAACGGTCTTAATTGAACAGTACCAAATTTTTGTTTTCAGTGTTACTCATGATGTTGAAAAATGCCCTACACAGCTTTCATATAAATACATAGATCGAAAAAATGTAATGTACCTTATTGAAGAAAAAATGGAGGGGAAGATGCCATTGGAAGTTAGTGTTTTATAAAAAATTTTCCCCCAAAACAAGAATTTTCACAAATAAAAAGATTCCATTTTGAAAAATCCTACCATGTGACTAATCTTACCAATTCAACACTGCAGTGCAATCTCTCGTCCCTTTTCCCATAAAAACAAAACAAAACAAAACAAAAAGCCTTCAAAATAAAAACTGAAAACAAGCCCCCAGAAACAGCAAAAACACATAGCAAGGAGAAAGAGAGGAAAAAAACTGAAGAACAGACTAAACTCTTATCAAAAGTTTCCTTCCATATTTTTAAATGAAAAATTTCAAATGAAACCAAATGTTTTTTTAAAAACGAACTTTTAAAAAAAGTATACTTTTTTTTCTGTGTGGAAAAACTTTTGATCGGCACTAGAATTTAATATCAGCAAAGAGTTCTTAATACACATATAAGCTTTATGCAAAAAATACACTTGTGCATAATTCTGCACCTCTGATTGTAACAAACTGAATCTGCATGTCAAGAAGTGAATGAAGGCTATGTTAATGTTTTTGGTAATGCCATATGCACTTCTCTTTACAGGTGACTGTTACGACTATAGGTTATGGGGATAAGGTACCTCAGACGTGGATAGGAAAGACCATTGCATCTTGTTTTTCTGTGTTTGCTATCTCGTTTTTTGCCCTTCCTGCGGTAGGTTCTCTTCTGGATTTTTTTTTCTTGGTAGTTTGTTCTTAAAGGAATTAATGGATTGTTGTATATTTTAAGAATAATATTTTCAACTTCCAAACTTATTTAAAAATTTCAAAAGTAGCTAAAAAGAACTCAAGTGCTTCCTTACTACATAGTGCTATATTTGGTGCAGTTTACATTTGTTAAGAGTGCTCCTTGAAGCAGTTTTTTAGCTTAAAAATGAAAGTTTAAATGAGATCACCGTTCTCTTCAAGTTTGAAAGGTGTACAGTAGATCAAATTCACATGGTAGTTGTTTGTTGTGAGTGCACTAATGCTGATGTTTTAGTTTTTTAAAGCCCTGATAAACCCAAAGCACTACAGCATGTGCTTAAGTGTCATTGATGGCAGTGGGTTTAAATCAGAAGTTTCACACTCCCCGCCCGTGGGCCGGCCCCACCTGGAGTAATTGTGCAATCTGGCCGTGGACTCTTAGGGTACGTCTAAACTACATAGCTCCGTCGACGGAGCCATGTAGATTTGTTTGTTCGGCAAAGGGAAATGAAGCCGCGATTATTTAAATCACGGCTTCATTTCCCTTTGCCGAACAAACAAATCTACATGGCTCCGTCGACGGAGCCATGTAGATTTGTTTGTTCGGCAAAGGGAAATGAAGCCGTGATTTAAATAATCGCGGCGTCATTTAAATTTAAACAGCTGCCGTGCTGAGCCGACAAACAGCTGCTCCGCTGTTTGTCGGCTCAGCACGGCAGCCATTTAAATTTAAATGACGCCGCGATTATTTAAATCACGGCTTCATTTCCCTTTGCCGAACAAACAAATCTACATGGCTCCGTCGACGGAGCCATGTAGATTTGTTTGTTCGGCAAAGGGAAATGAAGCCGTGATTTAAATAATCGCGGCTTCATTTCCGTTTGCTGATCAGCCTAATCTACATGGCTTCATCGATGGAGCAATGTAGTTTAGACACATCCTTGGTGGGCTGGGTAGGCCTGTCCATTACTGGCTCCCAAGTACCACCTCTTCCCACTATTGTCCCACCCTCTCCCCCTCATGGCATACTGTCCCCTAGGGTGCAGCTTTGTGAGTCCCAGGGAGAGAAGCAATTTGGGGGTCCTGCACTTCCTGTGGTGGCAGGAGCTTCAGGGGAAGCAGAGCACGATCATTTTATTACGATCTGCTTCCCCACAGTGGCAGGAGCAACTAACAGAAGTTGTGTGTTTTCCTCCTGGTAATAATAGTTTGTTTATATTAAGGCTTGTATGCTTCTAATGCAGTACAGTTCACTTGTTTAATCACCATCACCCCTGTGGCTTCTGTTCAATGGTTTTCAAAGATAATAAAATGCATTTTCTGTTAATTTCTAATTGGAACATTTGGTGAGTTGCAGATATCAGTACAGTCAAACTGACATAGCCAGCTGTCCTGGGGTCTTGCCTATGCTGGGATTATTAGAACCCAATATTCTTTAGTGGTGCCGTTCCAGATCTCCATTGTTTTTACCACTATGTCATTAAACCTTACGTTAAATGTCTCCACAGAGGAGGTGCTAACGAAACAAGAGAAGTGGACTATGCTTACCTTTGGAATGACTGAGTAGTTTTCCTTATATTTTGATTGCTCTTCAGTAGGATCAGATGTCCTGGTGATAAACTCACCTGAGACCTGAAAACACTGCTGCTTTCACAATTGTTACTACTTGTGGAGAATCATAGGTCCCAATTTTGCTACTACAGTTAGGGTTGCCAGGTGTCCGGTATTGATCTGGACAGTCTGGTATTTTCACCTCCTGTCCTATAAAAAAATTCAGAAAATACCGGACACCTAAAATGTCCAGTATTTTCTGTTTTTTTTTCCCAGCCAGGAAGCGAAAATCCCGGGTGCTTACCAGGTTCCGCAGGGGAGCTGTCCGGTCCGGAGCAGGGAGACAAGATAGTTGAAGGTCTCTGGCAGCCTGTTAGGGCCAAAAAGCCTCAAAAGCATTTCTTAAAGGGGCCACATGGTTTTTAAAAATGTGTTAATTTTTTTGCTTAACAACTCTCGGGGTCCTTTTTTTTCCTCAACAACTTTGGTCTCCCCCTTTTTTTCCTCAACAGAATTTCTTCCTCGGTGGTTTGGTTTTTTTGGCTTTTCTTTTGAGGGGGGCGTGTTCGGTATTTTTGGTAAACCATCTGGCAACCCTAACTACAGATGCATCCGAAGAGACTTGCTTATGACTTAATAATACACAAGCACCTATACTTGACTTCTCATCACACTGCAGGGATAGGCAAATCAGGGTAAAGATTCTCTTTCAAATTTGACTCTTCATCTGCACAAACATTTTTGTGGTTTTCAGACTCTTAAATACCATCTACTTACTTTTATTATTCTAAAGCTGAAAGATTCCCATTGACTTGTATGGGCTTTGGATCAGGCCACAGAAGAACTAACATTGTAAGTTCCAAGAAGTAATACCAATTGAGACTGAAAACTACTACACATTAAGTTATTTCCCTTGAATAATTAGTTAAGTTGTTTTATGATGCTGAAAACAGTTTTATTAATGTGATGTAATTTGGCCAGATTGTTGAAATATTTTTTTTCCTAAAAAGCTAGATCTTTATTTTCTTTCTTCCCATAGGGAATTCTTGGGTCAGGCTTTGCCCTGAAGGTACAACAGAAACAAAGACAGAAACACTTTAACCGTCAAATCCCAGCTGCTGCATCTCTCATTCAGGTACCTAAGCTGCTACATTTTAAATTCATGTATTGTCTCCTTTTTTATTTCAGTGTTAAAATGAATTGGAAATCCAGATGTGCTAGGTGACTGAAAATCCCACCCTTAAAGGCTCAAGCAATTGGAAATATTTATTGCAGAAAAATATCCTATAAATCGTTGGTTGTTTGATGCTATAATTGTTAGAGCTGATCAACAATACTCTCATTTCATCTTGCAACAACTACAGATTAGTACTTTGTAGCAACCAAATTTTCTATCCTACAGAACATTTTTGCATTTTCAGTTTAAAAAAAAAAGACAACCCAAAACCTATTACAAGTCTAAAAAGAATGCTGGATATGCAAAATTTCCCATGGGAGGAACACGCTCAAAAAATTCTAGTTTGGAGGAGCCAAAATGGAAAATTTTTGGTCTCTGCTCCCTAGGCTTCCAGGAGTACAAATCACCAGGGTAACTCCAGCAGCCTACCAGGAAGACTGTTGTAGAGATTGGGAATTCTAGCTTCCTTGCTCTTCATCAAGTAGATTGTTGGGGAGCCAACTACTCATGGAGCTGACTTCCTGGGAGGTCAGGCAGTCTAGAAAATTCCATTTTACAAATAGTGACCTGATGCAGAGGATAGATTGAGTGATAAGCCCAAACAAGGCCACGCAGGTAGTCCATGCAGAGCAGAGAATTCAACTGAGGTCTCTTCTGTCCCAGCCCAGAGGGCTTCCCACCAGAATACCCTCTTCGTGTTATCCTAATCCTGCTTATTGCAATAAAAAGTGCTTACATGCACATTTCTCCCTCTTTTTTATTTATCAAACAATTTTAAATTAGATGGATTGAATTTACAAAATGAGGATTTTCCACAAAGCCAAATGATACATTTCTCTGTTTCTGAAGGAACCTGAACACATCAATAATTTCTAATATCCTCTTTAACTTTCAAGAAAATCACATTTTAGTAGCTCTAACAATGCTCTATTGTAATAATTGTACTGCTAACAATTATTTTAGACTGCATGGAGGTGCTATGCAGCAGAAAACCCAGATTCTTCTACATGGAAAATATACGTAAGAAAACCTGCAAGAAATTATCATTTGATGTCACCTAGTCCAAAACCAAAGAAATCAGCAATGGTATCAGTAAGTAACCTTGATTTCTTTTCCCATTTTGGTAGTTCAGTGAATACATTTGCTTGGTAGAGTAGATGGAATTTGCTCACTCTCCAGAGGCTATAAATTGTATTTGTCTTACAGGATATTGCAATGGTAACTGTGTATGTATAGTATAATTATAATAAATATCTGGTAAGGTAAACTGAACTGTAGTAGGCAGATACAACTGAGTTCTATGATATACATGTTTGGGATTTTTTGGGATGAAATCTGAAAAAAAAAGTTGTCCTACTTGCTTTGCCACAAGCATGAGGATCAATTATCCAAAAAGTAGAGGCCTTCCTAAACTTGCTTTATGCAAACATGCAAATACCCACATGTTGCAACCTCTACCAGAGGAGTAGCATAAAGGGAGCCCATACCCACCTTCTACAATGGCTTCTGGGTGCTGGGAGCCCTAAAAACAGGACTCCTAAGACAGGGTGACCACAGCCCTCCTTCTTGGGGCTTTTCTGAAATCTTCATCAACTTTCCTGGTTTATCCACATGGAGGTGCAGGTTTTACTCCAGGGAGCCTCCATCCAAGTCTTTCTGGACTCTAGATTCACAAGTGCTATTTCTCACTCCTTTCCACCAACCTGTGACTGAGCTCCATGCAATTTTTCTATCAGCTGAGTGTATAGTCGCCTGACTAGACACCTGACTTCTATTCCTAGCTCGACAGCTGATCCTCCTATAGAACACTTTTCCTTAAAGGACCAGCCTTAGAACAGGGTTTTGCTGATCCAGGCCCTTTCTCCTTAAAGGTGACAGGCTACCTCTTTATAGACAAGAAATGAAAGGTAATACTGTAATCCAAGTGAAACTAGAATTCTGGTGGGCAGACTGCATTTACACAATTTATAACTTGTCCAGGACGTCAAGTTTAACATTCTATTCATGTGATGGCAGATTTTAAAAGGTCAGAGTCTCCTCTGTGGTTAACTAAGTAAATTTCCAAAAGCGGCGAGGAGTCCTGTGGCACCTTATAGACTAACCGCAGTGTTGGAGCATAAGCTTTTGTGGGCAAAGACCCACTTCGTCAGATGCATGGGATGAAGATCCACTTCGTCACATACATCTGACGAAGTGGGTCTTTGGCCATGAAAGCTTATGCTCCAACGCTCCGGTTAGTCTATAAGGTGCCATAGGACTCCTCGCTGCTTTTGCAGATTCAGACTAACACGGCTACCCCTCTGATACTTGACAAGTAAATTTCATTATCGGGGCAATCTAATGTGTATTCTTACTAGAGATCTAAAGGGTTAACCAATTATCCAGTTACCTGGGAAGTATTGCCTTACTGACATGCTAACCAAGTAACTGGTTAACCAATGCCCAGCATACCTAGAGCAGCCACCCCCACCCATGGCGCATTTAAATGGGATTTTACATCCCTTATTCTTACAAGAGATCTAATTTGTGTTCATATTTTTAGGTGAAGAAGAAGAAGTTTAAGACTGAGAAGGACAATGGACCTTCTTCCCCAGATAAAATGTTAACCGTTCCACATATCACTTACGACCATGTGGTGGATGATCGGAAATCTGATTTCAGTATTGATGCATATGAAAATTCTGGTAAGAAATTCCTTTATAACATTCTGCAAAATACTGGGCTATGTATTAATTACACAAATGAACTAAGTTTCAATGGTTAGTGTCATGTATGAGAGAAGACCTGCTCCCTCCCACTTTCTTAGGAGTCCAAACAAGGATTATTTTCTATCCATGCTTTGGCCACTAGTTGGTCTTGATGAGGCCCAATAGCTCTCCTAGGGGACGTTTACACAGCAGGGCTAAAGTCAAATTAAGCTACACAACTTCAGCTATGTCAATTGCGTAGCTGAAGTCGAAATAACTTAACTCAGCTTTTGGTGCTGTTTACACAGCAGGAAGTAAAGAAAGAACACTCTTCCTTTGACTTCCATTACCAGTGGCAAGGGTGTTAGGTGCCATGGGGCAAAGGCAAAATTTACGCCCACTAGCCCCCAGCCAAACCCTCCCCCTTGTCTGTCCCGCAGCCACATGGGGCTCCCTCCGGTGCATCGGGCTAGTCCAGTTCCAGCCAGACTGATACTCCCTCTGGCCAATCAGCAGCTGTGGTTTCTCGGAGGGGCGGGCTACAGTTGATAACCTGGATGCTGCAGCCCAATGGGCGGCGCTTTGGACTGACTGGTGGTGAAGGGGATTGTGGGGGTTGTAACACAGACGGGGCCTGTGTGCCAGCTGCATTCTGCGCATGCTCCACCTGAACCCCTGTCCTGTGCGCTACCCCCGCCAGGTGCTTCATGCTCAGTTTCAATATCCTGCAGGTGCAGAAGTAGCTGGTGCCTGCTGGGTCCTAGTGCTGTCCTTCCCTCTCATGTCTGGCTGGCACCCACAGGGTCCTAGGACTCCTAGCGCCGTTCTTCCCTCTACTGCTAAATTGGCGCCTCTCTAGCATGGTGCCCGGAGGCAACTGCTCCTCCATCACTACGCCACTGTCCATTACTCCTTGTGAAATGAGGGTTACTATGAGTGGGAGTAAGAAGTCCTCCAGCTTGACATTATTTCAAAATAAAGCCTTGTAGTGTAGACTCGCACTATATACATTCGGAATAACATCAGTTATTTCAAAATAACGCTGCTATGTAGACGTACTCCCTAGTGAAAATGCAGACAGGACAAGGTTGAAGGTTTCTCCTAACTGACAGGAAAAGTACATTCTTTGCAACTGATGCCAAAGCCACTTAGTTCTCCAGCTTATAAGTAGTACTTGTAGCTAGCCATGAATGCGTCTCCATCATCTCCCATGTGGAGGACAGGACTAGAGGACCTCTGAGGTCACATAGGATGTGTCTACACTGCACCCATAGCTCAAAATAAGCTATACAGTTTGAGCTATGAAAATTGTGTAGCTTATTTAGAGTTAATTTTGAAATTTGGCACTTTCTACACAGCACTTATTTCGAAATAAATCACTATTCTGAAACATCCCTTACTCCTTGCAGAATGAGGTTTACAGGAATGTTGGAAAAGTGAGCCTGTTATATTTTGAAATAACGGGCACACTCAAAAGACACAGAATAGCTGTTTCGGAATACTGAAGGTGTCCTGAAATAGAGCTGCAGCGTAGATGTAGCCTTCCAGTCCTATGTTCTCTTCCCAAATTAAATTCAGGTGAACCATATCTGCTAACACCCAGCTTTAAACAGTGACCCATGACTGTTCTTGAAATCTGGTCTGTCACTGCAAGCTATGTATTCCCTTTTCCCCACCTTGGTTTGGGTTTGGAGGCAGAAAGCTATTATTTCAAGTTCATCTAATATGGTTTTATAATAATACCATCTAGCTATTATAGACAGCACTTTTCATCAATGTAGGTTCTTCTGAGTTATCTAGGTCATCGATCCATATGGAAGGAGAAAGGAACCTGTTTTATAGTCCTGTTGCAATTAGAATCTTGTTGCTTTTGAAGTTGCATTGTAAATTCATCAGTTATTTTACATTTCTTTTTATTGTATTAAAAGCTGTTTTATGTTTTAATTCTGGCTAAAAGAACATTAACTACATCAAATAAGGTATAATTTTAAAGGTACATTTTACAGATCATATTGATTTTTAAGCTCTTAAATTTTTCTTCAGAAACTTGGCTGACTTTGTTTAAATTTAATAGTCATTAAAACGAGGAGATGATTGCAGTGTTTATTGAAACCAGGTATGTTTTAGCTCAGGCAGAAAGTCTAATCTCTCGATGTCACTCTGGTGTACTACAGCCCTATTCTGCAACTTCCCTGTTTTTTCAGTCTTCCTGAGCTTCTCCTTAGTAACAATGGCCACTTAAACGGTGTTGTGCCAAATGCTATTGTAGTTAGTAGGTGAATAAGGATAGGTCAACCATTAAGAAATATCTGCCCACAAAACAGCACAATGTGGTAATTTTATGAATGGCTTAATTTGCCAAGTCCCATCATGGAGATTTTGTGTCCCTAAATGTAGTAAGGGGACATATGATTTGCAAGCAAATACTAGTGTCCCTTCAGAACCAACTCTTAAGCTATCAATCAAAAGTTTTCCTCATTTCTTCTGACACTTCTTTTGTTTTCTTTTGATCTGTGTTTTGTTCTCACAAAACTCTTACAAGTGTACAGGACAAACAGGAATGTTAAAGTGGCTTGGTAAGTTGAGGAAAATAATTTTATATACAGCATGCCAGACTTTGACAATGTAACATAGCTTGTGATGTGCTCTTCTGTGTGTGCCTAATGACAAATAGCTTGCTATGATCTCTTCACTACTCAAGACTGTGTGTGAGACAGAAATGTTATTTCTCCCACATCTGGTCACAATCACAATATAATTAAAAAGCTGATTATGAGGACATGTTTTAATAAAATATGTATTAAGTTAATTAATATTATATTATAAATATTATTAATATTTATTTACTAACTTACATACTAGAAGATTTACTCAGCATTGTATGGGTCCTTAACTCAAATGAGTTTTGTTTTTCTTCATTTAAATCATTGCTCTGGGTGAGTTTGGGAATGAGGAGTTCAATATTCAGGCTGCCTTGAGTGACAATGCCAGCCCTCTCTCACCTCAACAGCTTGGGGCTAGGTGAGAAGTGCCTGTGCCTGTCTGTAGCTACAGAAGGCATGGCCAGGGGAGTGGTGCGTGTCCTACAAACAGACACTTAAACAGACAAACCCTCTGAAATATGTAGTAGCTAGCTGTCCCTTTCTCCACTCCTGCCTCCTGCTAGCCCAGTGGGGTTAGAGTTGCTCCGTCTCCATCTCTGGCCCCTTGCTGCCTCCCTGTGGTCCTTCTGTAGTATAACTGTCCCTCCTGCCAGACCCCTCCCTTTCCATTTTATGAGAAACAGTCAAATTCCAGGCACATCCTATTGTCCTGACACAACCAAACCCTTCCTTTCCCTTAAGTTATGATAAGAGAAAACTGCATACCAAATTTGGTGGTCCTAGCTCTTAATGTTTAGGAGGAGTTCTTGAACAAATGCACTCACAGATGGAAGGACAGATGGACATTTCTAAAATATATAGTAAGTTTTTTTTATTTGTTGGTTCAGTGGTGGACACCATCCATTCCTTGCTTCATTCTTAACCCAGCTATACTCTTTTGTAAAAATGACTAAACAACCTGTGATTGAACCAGTGTCATTTTGTAAGCAAATAGTGTGGCACCAGCAAAATTTCCAGGCATCACCTCCGCTTTCATTCACACAAAAATGCATGCACAAGAGAATACCTCTATAAAAATGTACTTAGGCATTTGTGATGATAAGTGGGCACCTGAAAATTAAATAATACACTTTCTCTTTTTGCAGAAAATAACGGCAGTCTGGATTCTTTGTTTATGCCATTATGTCCATGTGCTTTTTCTCAGTATGGTCATAGTGCAGTTTTCTTATGAGTGTTTCCTTATAAGTTACATTTTCAGTGTTTCCTACATAGTTTTAGAGTTAGAGAAAGAGCTGTGCAAAACCATCAATACTTCAGTGATAGTAACATAAGTACCTGCAACCATTGAAGACAATGGCAAACACCCATTGACTTAAGCAGTAGATAATTGAATCTAAATACTCCAGAACTGGATTATTCTGTTCAGATGTATACAGGGCTGAATTCTCCACTGTACCCACACAGAACCCAGGCATAGTGGTGATGGAGGGATGAGAGGAAGCTCATTGTAGCTCCCTGATTCTGCTCTACCCTGATCCTGGTAGTATAACTCAAAGCTGCAGGGAGAATGGAGATGCAGCTTTAATTTGCACCCCCAAAGCATAATAGAACCTCCCTCCCATACTGTCCTTAGCACTTTTCCCCTCCTTATCTCAATCAGTGCAATTCTGGTTGTAGAAGGGGTAGAAGAGAAGAGGAGTAGGAACAGCATAGCTACTTACTTTAAGTCACCAAGAGATTCTCCCAAGACAGGGAATTCTCAGAGAGAATTCTCCAGCAAGTATAAAATCTGTTTCCTACACAGGCACAAAATGAACTTGGTAGACTTAACACCTGGCACCCAGTGTCCTCCAAATGGTTTTAGGAGGAGGAAACAAAGAGAGAAATATATATTTCTCTGAGCCAAGCATGGGAACATTTCTACATACAAAAGGCATTACAGTCATGTTAAGGTTGCAGAGTGAAACACCCCAAAGGTAGGAAATACCAGCATTAAGGTTGCCTGTGAAAATTTAAGTCAGCCTCCTTGTGCATATGCCTTACGATGAAGTCTCTCATTACGTGATCACATACCATTTTTCTGCAGCCCAGCCAGTCAGAGTTCCCATTTCTGGGCTCCTTGCCTGAGTCCTACTCTTCATCTTGCCTTGACTCACAATCCTAATATCCCTGCCTGATCTCTTTGCCCAACTTGAGTCTTCTCCCCTCTCTCCCACTCTCTGGGCTCCTCATCTCATGTCATTCTTCGTACTCCCTCCTTGACTCCCAGTCTCTTGGCACAATCAGTCCCAGTCTGAGGCAGACAGCCGATGTGGGAAATTTTAGCCCAAGTGGTTAAAGTTTGGCAAGGCTATCAGCAATTGAGAACAGGATGTTAAAATGGAAAGTGTCCACCTATAATATAATGTACTGAAGAGGGAGAAAAAATGACAAGAAGTTACACTATGACCTTCAAGGGCCAGACTGAGTCTGGTCCTTATTTGGTTATATAGTTGGGAGAGGTAGTGCACAAGGAGACTTACCTTCTTGGTGCTTGTGTGGACTGTGGAAATGTCAGTCAGAATTATCTTCCCTTTATGCAGGGGTACTCATGGCTCCACAAAGGCAGAGCTATGGCCAAATCCTGCTGCAGAACAGGCTAGGTGCATGAGTGAATGTTAAGCTACAGTCTATAGACTTACTTACATTGTGCATGGGAGGGGAGGCACAGGGAGGCAGTGATTCTGAAAAGAGGAACAAAATACTCATCAAAACACTTATATTTAATCAATAGTAAATGAAAAGACCTGAATCAAAACTCCTTTTGTTAGCCTTTTTCCTTCTTAATTTTAAAGTTGACAAATACCACACAGACTTTGCATTAAAGGAAGACATGTTGCTGTCTCTCCAGCTGTCTCTTTTCTCTCCTCCTTTCTTTCTGTCTCTTGTGTGCATCTTTCCTGTGACTCAGACCGTCAGCAATCCTGGGCATCTCTTTCTGCAGAGCAGTCATCTTCCAGTGCACCTCCTTCTCCAGGTAAAGCTCCTATTTCAACGATCCATTTCCTTTGCAGCTGACAGGAATTCAGTCTTTGCATTGCAAAGTTTGGACTTTCAGGCAAAATGAGGGGCTTTTTTCTTTTTGTTTCCAACCCTTTCCCCATTTTTGTCAGTGGAAATTTAAACTGTGTCCTGAAAATTTTCAGCTGAAAACCAAAAATCAAAATGTTCCACAGAAAGTGCATTTCCATTTAGTTAAAACAGTTAAAATGGAAAATCGTCAATCAGCCCTACAAAAAGAGTAAACCTATTTGCCCATTGTATTTAAGCTGATGGTAAAATTGTGAAATCCAAGTTGATTTATTAAAATATCCTCTATTAGCAATATATTTTAAAACATTTTACTAGAACACTTAGTTATACTTACACAAATATCAGATGGTTGGAAAAAATTATTGTATCAATCTAATGTTTGATTTTCCAGTCATTGGGACAGTAGGGTGGCAGAAAATTGTAAGATGTTCAATTCTAATGGTTGTAATGTCTTCCCTACAACTCAGACTAGATGTTCCTCACTGCATCTATTGTCTATTTCATTATTTTATCAATTCACAAACATTGATTCCTTTCTTTATAAAAGCATCTTTAAAAACATATCTGTAGACAGTAATATCTAATACCTGTGAGGAAGTATGGATCAGCAATTAGCCTCTTAGGATTTGAGAAACCTGGGTTTGAGTCCCTTCTCCTCCATAGATTTCCTATGTGACTTTAGCCTTTTTGGGTTTCCATTCTCCACTGGTGAAATGGGGTTAACTCCGGTCATCTGAAGAAGTGGGCTGTTCCCACAAAAAGCTCCTTATACCATCTACATGTTTTGTTAGTCTATAAAGTGGTACCAGACCATTTGTTGTTTTTTCCCCCTATTTCACAGTGAGAATATGTACATTAAAAACCGTGTGAGGTGGTCAGATACTGCCATATACTTACCTCATATGAGAAAAACATGAGTCATCCATTTAAGGATTTTATTTTTCTGTATCTCTCACATCAGGCTTGTAACTAGCCTATCGGTGAGTTTGAGCAGGGGGAGACAGTAATCCATCAATTTAGTACAGATTACTTACAAACATTTTTTAATTTATCCAACCTTCTTCTGAACTCTTTGGTCTGGAATTAGGACAAATTTTTCACTAGATCAGGTTTGCTTCTCCTTCTCAGAGGAAGCAATGGCACAGTGCACAGCACCTAGGGAGTAGAAGTGGATTCTTCAAAGACCAGGGCTGGCCATAATCTGTCCCTAAGTAGTTACCAGAAAATTCCAGGGGAAAGAAGCAAGCAATAGGCAAATATAATTCCCCTCTTATTATCTTCTAGTTACTCCTAGGAGAGAATGTATCCTTATATTTTTCAAATCAGGTGGGATACAACATTAATTCCATCTTCCTTTTTCATCTGTCATTTCTGTCCTTTTCTGTCTTAAACAAGAAAGCAATAACTGTAACAACTGAACAATTGGAAATCCTCTTGTAAGCATTGCTTCATGTAGCTACAGTGTAATGAGTGCTTGCAAGCACTGCATGTGGCTTTAAGTTCAATAGCATTGTCTTTAGTAATCAGACTGCATAAAGAGATTTTTAAAATCCTCTCTAGGAAACTGCAAAAACAACAAGGAATCCTGTAGCATGTTAGGGTACGTCTGGACTACAGGGTATTGTCGACAGAAGTTTTGTCGACAGTATCTGTCGACAAAACTTCTGTCGACATAGAGCGTCTAGACACATTCAGTTCTGTCGACAAAGCAAGCTGCTTTGTCGACAAAACCCTGTAGTCTAGACGCAACCCTACAGGCAATAACACCTTCTGTCGACATAACTCTGTCGACAGAAGGTGTTATGCCTCGTAAAATGAGGTTTACCAGTGTCGACAAAACTGCTGAGTTCTGTCGACGTTATGTCGACAGCACTCAGCGGTAGTGTAGACGCTGGTATAGTTTTGTCGACAAAAGTCCACTTTTATCGACAAAACTCAGTAGTCTAGACGTACCCTTAGAGACTAACAGATTTAGTAGGGCATAAGCTTTCATGGGTAAAACCCAGTTCATCAGATGAATTGGAGTGGAAATTCAGAGGCAGGGGGACAAAGACACACATGTGCATGTGAACCAGTGTGGATTTGGCTCACTCAAAGCAGCTGATGGGGATGTGTGAATACCAAGAGAGGGGTTTGTAGTGAGACAACCATTCTAAATCCTTATTCAGTACACATATTCTGTGTGAAACTGATGGAATGTATCCCGCTGCTCAAACTCCCCCACGTTATGGCTACTTACAAGCCTGATGTGTGTGTGAGAGAAAAATAAAATAATTAAATGTCTGGCTCTATTCAGTAACCCCCTTCTTTTGTTATACTAGTCTCTCTCTCTCTATCTATCCCTGCCTCTATAATTTTCACTCTGATTCATCTGATGAAGTGAGTTTTACCCACGAACGCTAATGCCCTACTAACTCTGTTAGTCTCTAAGGTGCTACAGGACTCCTTGTTGCTTTTGCACATACAGATTAATGTGGCTACCTACCCCTCTAAGACTTAGGAAACTAGTGAGTTTTCGTACATGCCTGGCAGAACACTGAATGTTCAGTATTTAATAACAGCCAAAGAGGAGTCTGTTTAACACAACTATTTAAGGCCTTGTAAAGTTGTATGTTTTAGCTGGAATTCTTCTGCTCTTTGTTTCATAACCTCTATCTTGAATGTAGCTGTGTGTTAATCCTACGGATATTACTGAGGAAAAGTAGGTGATGCTGGAGTTCACTATTGTTTGCTATAGAACTCCCATCACCTTAATGCTAAAATTGGCTCTTGAGTAGTACTGTGATCAAGGAACCCTGCTTTTCAGCTGCTAGTATTGGAGTAAAAACTTGCTCTTTTTTTTCCAGATGCTCCCAATCATGTGGTTTTTGAAATCAGTGAAAGCAAAACCCCCAAGGAATTTTATAGGAGCAGGATCATGCACTTGATCTACTCCTTACAAAATGAAATGGCCAAGAATTGTGTGTTGATTACTTCCTATACCTTCTGATTTGGGCTAAATGTTGGATAGTACATGAAGAGGGTGTAAATTGTATCAAACATTAATTTCAGGGGTATAAATCTTCCAGTGCCTATGGATTTAAGGGACAGCAGACCTATGCCTTTACTTAATGATTAGGTTGTCTGAGCATAAATAAGATCAGAAAAAAGTCCATACTGTGTCAGATTCTTCTCAGACAGTTCTTATTATTACATCTAAAGTACCCATCCCTGAATCATCTGAGTGTTCTTTATTTAAATGCTTAATGGGCACACACAGATGGGAAGCAGGTCTCTGTTCCTGTCCTTCCCAGAACAATGATCATTTTAACCCAAATGGGCCTGACTCCGCCAAATTAAAATTTTGTATTCGCTACCTCAACTGGAGGATCTTGCACAGCAGCTTCTCCTTTGCTACAGGATTGGGCATTAGGGTGTCACATGATCAGATGCTGAAAGTCTTGTGCAAGAAGAGAATGTCTCGATTTGCTTTCACTGCACCCTTGTCCCGTTTACAGATATTTTTTCTAGCGTCCTTGTTTTGTTTTTAAGTCTGTCTTGTTTGTACCTTTTCCACTAGCTTTTGAAATACTATAATGTATCCTCACACGCAATAAGCCTGTTATTCAGACTTTTAAAAACAGCAGCATCCTACTGTTCTAACCCTTATCTGCTTATTTCCTCATAGTGAAAAAGAGCCCTGCATTTTTAGATGTGAACACGGTGCCCTTCACCAGGACCAACAGCTTTGCAGATGAGCTTGACTTGGAGGGTGAAACATTGCTGACCCCAATAACTCACATCTCACAGTAAGTCACTAACTATTGAATAGGGGAATCGTTGACTTTAGACAAGTGCATCTAGTGCAGTTGAAGGAGCTGAAATATGGCACTGATAAGGCCATCTCAAATATTTGAGTCAAACTGTTTCACCTTGACATTGGTATATTCTGAGTGCAAATAAATCTTCATGTTGACTTAAAGAAAAGTTCATTCTTCTGTGACACAAGGTTCTGGTTTTTAGCTGATGTCTGTGGACAGCTGGTGGTTGATAGACTCAAGATTTTCATAGATACCGGTACTTTGTGAATCACTCTTCTATTGAGGATTATGTTACATTCTCCCATTTTATGTTTTCAACATATGTGTCTTGAAATATTTTTTTTTCTCAACTATAGGTCTTTCATTTTCAGCTGTAGCCCCTGTAAAAGAGAATCTTCCTATAACAGAGAAAATTATCATTTGTACCTTTATTGCTGCTTTGTGTAAAGGTGGCCAGGAAAAGGGTTGCACTTGTTAATATTTGTTTCTTTTTTAAAGGCTTATGTTTATCTGCTATGTTAGAAATATTAGGCCCTGACTTCCTACTTGGTGCTGGAGGAGTCCTAAAAAGAGTGGAGATGCAGTGGGATTATGGCATCACCAGAGAAAATAGATTGAAATCTGGTCAGTTTGAGAGGGGAAGGGATTTTTAGTTAGTTTAAAACTCTTCATGTTTTGTTTTGTTTTGTTTTGTTTGTTAGCGCTTATTTAACTCAAACACCTGATAGATGTTTGGAAGAAGCCTTTTTCTTTACCCCTACAGTAGAAGACTGCGAGACAGTCTCCCACTCCAGTTCTCAGAGTACTAAGGATTCCTTCAACAAACCAGGAAAGAAAATTGACTACTCCTGTGCTTGTTGGTCTCTGTGTATTCCATGCTTGGGGTACACATGTGTTCTGTGTCCATTGGTCTGCACATGTGCCCACAATCTACTTGTATCTCTGACGAGGTAAAGGACAGAGCAGACTGACTGCCTCTTCAGTTCCATCTTAGCCACTGCATGGTCTGTATTGGAACAGTCAGACCCCGCTTCAGGGACCTGGTTGGTGGGGTAGCCTGACAGAGCAAAGAATCTGTTTTCTCTTCCATGAGTTTTGACTTAGTTGTGAGGGACTCTACTCCCACAGTCCCCCACTGGGGGCTTATCGGGAAGGCAGGGAATACTCTGATAAGCATGAGAGCAGATCTTTCTCTAGTCAACTTTAAAGGAGTCTGATCTAATCCAGCGTAAGTTGAGCATGTCTTCTTGCTTAGCCTGGGAGACGTTAGAAAGTCTCAAGTCTCAGGGTCATGACAAGAAAGTCCACATAGCCAGTGCTTTGTCAGAACCAGACTGTGCTTTGGGAGCAACAACACCTGCAGTGCCAGTTAAACACCAGAGCTGGTGGCTCTAGCAAATGGTGACCATTGGGAAATTCAGCCACTGACAGAACTGGCACTGCCTCTCCCGACTCTGACACAAAAGATTCTTAACTCCCCCCACTGTGTAGGCCCTTTTGTGAGAACGTTTGAATCTTCCTGCAAATGAAAAGTTTACATTGTCAGCTGAATTGTTTAAACACCGATGTACTTGTAGGAGAAATATAAGAATCTTGTGTTAAAAGATTTGTTATTGGCTCAGTTAGGAGGAGGAAGAAATACATTTCCAAACACCTTCAGACAGTGATATCTGAGGAGCAAAAGCAGATCTGATGTTTTCCTTTGCATATTTTATTTTAATTCACCATACGGGTCATGTACCTGTTTCTTTTTATATCCTAATTTCTCAATCATAATCTGTGGCGTCATCTTGCAGATGCTCTAGTTCTGAGTGCCAAAGTGCTGCAAAATATACCTCTTTATATGAATTATGCTTTTGCGCTTGTGTAGTGTTAGCAATGAAAGACAGTTTCCCAAAGAGAGATACAAATGGGTAAGCCATATTTTTTCTTTCAAAAAAAAAATTGTTTCAAAGTACCAAGGACATAATAGTCTTAGACAATGGATGTTATCAGATTTGTAAAGTTCTTTCACTTAGAGATTGCGCTTATCAGTTATGTTGTGGTGCATATTTGTCCTGAAATACATAAAGTAGTCCTAAAGATGAGAGAGTATCGGACAAGGATGAGGACTTACACATTTAAATGTTCAGGTTTTTTACCATCAAGTAATAGGTTGTGTATGCCAAGTAATGGATCATATCAAATATTAGGGAGGTACCAAAATACTGAAGCTTGGTTTTGTTAATGGAGAAAGTGGTGCGCTTATGTGAAGTACTGAAAAACAAGCTTCTGTATTGCATTTCATTTTTATGTAATGCTATAATCCTAAGCCTAGTTATGATACTACTAAACTTTTGATTGAAATTGTTCTTTTATTATGTGGACGCATGCTTCTTTTTCGTTCTTTTCTTCAAAGACTGTAAGGAACAAATATATGAAAAATTGTGGCACGTCATTCACTCCAGGCATAAGACCAGAAGTTTGGCATCCAGATATAATGTTAGACATGAAATTTAGGGATGAGCAATATACAGTAAAAGCCCTTTTCTCTGGCACTTCACCAACCAGCTGGCTTGATAAATTGGCATTTCTGATCTGGAGAGAATGTCTGGTTTACACTGCGTGTGGTGCAGGGCTGGCAAGGGGCTGGAGCATGAGAGAGGACGTGGAATATGGGAGTTTGGGTCTGAAAGGGGGCTCAGGGTACTGGAGGGCAGGGATACTCACCTCCAGCAGCCCCCATCTCCCACAACCAGTTTCCTGTCCCTACTGTGGCTGGCGGTGGTGTGGCCAGGCGGTCCTGCAGGCACGCTGCCTTTGTCTCCCCTCCCTGTGCATTGACTCCATGGCTCCCAGACCATTGGCCGGGAACTGTGGCCAATGGAAGCTGTGAGGGGCGATGCTTGCTGATGGAAGCACTATGGTTGGTTGCAACAGAGCCACCTGGCCATACCTCTGCCAGGAGCAGCAGGGATGGGGAACTGTTTGCACCTCCCCTTCTGGCGCCACAACTACCTCCACCTTGGTTAATTGGCATTTTCAGTTGAGTGGCACCTCCCTTTCCCTCAGCATGCTAGATAAAAGGGCTTTGCTGCACACATTGTCTCACAAGCACCCAGTCCGCTTCCATCATACAGTTTGCAATATAATAAAAACAAAAGTAGTTTGTGGTTACAGTCGATATCATAAATATGTCTTAAGTTGCCAGAATGAGAATTATTTTTTATTTCCTGAGGGAAATAGAAATGTGCTTTTTAAAAGTGCACTTTGTTTAACATATATACAAGTAATGCTTCATATTTGAGTTTGTATTGATAAAGTACCCATTATGCAAGTATTCCAGAATACATAACAAAAATACCTTCTGAACTATGAAGGTAACTAACTAGCATAGAAAAGTCAGATCAAATAAAACTGCAGTTTAGACTTTAATATCAATCCATATTCTATGTAAGAAATCGCAATGTGGAGACCATTTCAGAGCCCAGGTGCATAACAAATAGCATCTCTTGATTCCGTAACATGTAAATTAGTTTCTCCAAAAGACTCTAGAAATGAGCACCAGTAAAGATTTTGATTCTGTAAGCCACACAAGCATGAGTAATACTTGCCGGTTAATTGGAGGCATATGATTGGCAACATACCTGGAAATTGATTTTACCTCAGAGTATAAAAATACTTCCTTTTGACAGGCAATGTAAATCCTGTGGCAAAAAAAGCTTCCTACTGTACTATTAGCAGAACTACTTGGCAACATTCATATTAGAAGGATATGGGTACATTTCTATTTGTCTCACTTACTTTAAATTGATAGAAATAATTTGTAACCTTTAATACCTCAGAATCTCTAGTTTTGCATTTTTTTAGGCTTCTAGGCATATCATAAATATCAAAGGTTATAGCCCTGCTAAGATTTATGCACTAAGTTAAATTTAAGCAAGTGAGCAGTTCCAACTGAATTTAATAGGACTATTCAGGTACATAAAGTTAGGTGTGTGTAAATCTTTGTGGGATTAAGACCTAAAAATTTCTCTTGAGATGAATATGCTAATTATTGATGCCCAGTACTGTGATCTTTCCATGGGGTTTTGCATATGAAAGGACAGTTCTATCATGCTAATTGTTTCGCAAACTCTAAATGAAAAAAATAATAAATATGTGAGAAAACAAAATATACAAACCGGCTACGTCTAGATTGCATCCCTTTTTCATAACAGGGATGCAAATTAGACGTATCATAATTGCTAATGGAGCTCTGCCGGAAAAAAGCGCCAGTCTAGACGCGGATCTTTCGGAAAATAAAGCCTTTTCCGAAAGATCCCTTATCCCTCTTAAAATAATTAATATTATGTGTACAAATATATACTGATAGAGGTAAACAGAAAACATTCTTCCCATCACAAAAAATTTTGAGATATACAAAAATGTGTTCCTGTACCAAGTTGGGACGAAAAGTCAAAATCTCAAAATTTTTCCCAAACTGAGAATAAATAAATAAACAATCCAGGTCAATTAATATATTTTCTTTTGCTATTTTTTCTTTTATTTCTATCGTTTTATGAAAAAAAACCCTATAGCTTAAATTTAAAAGAAAAAAAAACTCATTGTGAAGTGGAAAAACAGAATATTTTCTTTTGAAAATAACAAAGTGAAACATTCCAGCAATTTCAGAACTTTTATTTTTATTTGAAAATTTTGCTTAAAACAACCTTTTGCTATGAAAATGTTCAGTTTTGGATAAATGGCCTTTTCTGATGCAAAAAAATGTTTCTCAAAAAAATTCATACCCATTCTAATAAGGATCATGATTTTCAAAAGCTGGCTCCTCAGTCTCATTTGGACACCTGAAATAAATGGCCTGATTTTTCAAAGCTCCTGTTGGTCGCAGTAGGACTTATAGTCAGCATGAGTAAGGATAGTAGACTAGAGCATAAAATGAACACCAATTGTCATAAGAAGGTATGACCTAACATAATATCAATATAATGTTAAAAAGCTTCAGAGGG